AACAAAACAAAACAAAAAATACAGACGAATTTGCTCAAACAGCTTGTCACACAAATTCCAGCTACTTAACCACAAACGCATCCAAAAGTTTAAAACACAGCATCAGCAAGATATAAAATTTATCTTACACCAAATGCAAATATTTCCTTCCCTTGCCAAAAATCTCATTCCACCGAGTGTCAAAGTTTCATGTTTTCTTGCATCTCATTGGACAAGAGCGTATCACGTGAAAGTCACAGTATGTTCTGTGGAATCGCAGCGGCATGGTAGAAAACCCGCGTAGCGGATAACCGGATAACCGGATAACGGATAGTATATAGAGATTTTTTCATGGGAAATACTTACGTGTGGTATTTACGCACGCGTTAATTTGTTTTCGCAAATTAAACAAACGAGCGAGTGCAAAATGTTTACTTCGTAGATGATACAGAGTTTATTTATATTACACAGCGAAAAATATAAAGGTTTACATGCTTCATAAAGCGAGACAATCAGATAAACAAAGTCGTGTCGTACAAAAATACATCGGAAAATACAAATTTTTCAGTATTAATGAACAGGAAAGGAAATATCAATTTATTATTATTATTTTAAAACGGTAGCTCTTCAGAACACCTATGATCTGTTTTTCAAGAGGCCGTTTAAACTAATATTTACAAAGTTTAATAAAAATTACATCTAAAATATAATAAAGGGTTATTAACCGAGAGCGAGGTCTGTACGGGAAAGTACTTGCCTGAGGTTTTCGTACAGACCGAGCTACGAAGGAGCGAGGTATGTGCGGACAAACCGAAGGCAAATACTTTCCCGTACAGACCGAGCAAAACAAAGTTAATAAACCATTTATTATATGGCTTCTTAAACACATTTTCTGATTCTCATATATTTGTTTGAGCGGTAAAAAGGTATTTTTGAGCTATGTTTTATTTGCTAGTTTTCTTCGTAATAAAATTGGTTTCGTCATCGAATATTGTTTACGGAAAAGCATGTTTATTTTAACAATCGCTTTAGAACTACTTTTTCGGTACCCCCACCCCCAGAAAAAATGCTTATAAACAATCTGTAAACAACCAATCTGAATGATGGAAAAAGAATGGGATTTAAAATCAACCAATTTGCTTACAGTACTGTAGTCGCCAAGTAACAAAACAAAACAAAACAAAACAAAACAAAACAAAACAAAACAAAACAAAACAAAACAAAACAAAACAAAACAAAACAAAACAAAACAAAACAAAACAAAACAAAACAAAACAAAACAAAACAAAACAAAACAAAACAAAACAAAACAAAACAAAACAAAACAAAACAAAACAAAACAAAACAAAACAAAACAAAACAAAACAAAACAAAACAAAACAAAACAAAACAAAACAGAAGTGTGAATAAGGTAAAAGTTATAAATAGACAAATGTTGTCAATGTCTGCTATAAACAGGCAAGGACAGAAGGAATTAAACATAGGAAAAGCGTTCATTAATACCATAAGGGTGAACAGTGCCAAATTTGGACATCAGGCGCATTTCATGTTGTTTGGGGCTATCGTTGCTTCCAGAAATGGGACCAAGGGCTCGAATTACAATATCTTAAACACTGTGATTGCCATTATTAAAATGTCTGGCAACAGGTTGGTTAGCATCATTGCCAGTAACTGCACGCCGATGCTCACCAAACATTGTCCTTAAACATCTTCCAGTTTCCCCCAATGTAAAGCATGCCACATCTGCTGCAAGAGATGCAGTAGATGAGATGGGAGGAGGCACACGTGAAATGGTGCTTGATGTGAAAATCAGATTTAGGTGCTGAAACAATAGTGGCAGAATCTACAAAATCACAGGTTTTACATTTCAACGACAGGCAAGGAAAAGTGCCTTTCTGTGACGTCGAAGCCTGTGCTAGGGAGCTATGGACTAGGGTTTCACGGATATTTTTGCTGTGTCGAAAAGAATCATCGGAGAAAATGGAAAGTGTTTCAGGTTTGTTTTTCAAAATATGGAAATTCTTATTGATGACATTTCTAACTTTGAAATTGAAAAGATGATAATTTAAAAATAGGGGGATTTTGTTGTTGCCCGTGATATTAGACACGGGGTCTGGGAGGGTGTCAGAACGGAGAAATTGGGAGGCCTTCGAAAAGGCAGTGTCTAATAAAGAGGTAGAATAACCACGTTGGACAAAAAAGTTTGTCTGTCCCATTTTTGGAAGCAACGATAGCCGCAAACAACATGAAATGCGCCTCATATCCAAACTTGGCACTGTTCACCCTTATGGTATTAATGGACGATTTTCCTATGTTTAATTCCTTCTGTCCTTGCCTGTCTATAGCAGACATTGACAACATTTATCTATTTATTACTTTTACCTTATTCCCACTTTTGTTTTGTTTTGTTTTGATTATTTTTTGTACGGTAACCTGTATATTATTGTAGTTTTTATTATATTATATTCTATAATGCGATTTACATATTTTGTTTACACTTTGTTATGATTAAATCCATCTAATTGGTTTAACTTTTTGTCACTTATTTTTCAGTTTCTTGTTTTTATGGTTTGTTCCCGAGATATTTCAATTTGTTTCATATGTAAATAAGTGTGAATATGTCCGCTAATTTATTACGTCATGTTGGTTGCAGGCTCAATAAAAATGTATTAACTCTAAAAACTGTTGACATAAGTTCAAGTTTTTCTCCAGTGTTTCATCACATTTACCAGTGAGTGAAGTTTGTAATTATTATCTTGGATGGTAGCAGTGATATTCAGCCATTTTGAAGAGCTTGCAACCAACATGACGTCATAAATTAGCGGACATATTCACACTCATTTACATATCAAACAAATTGAAATATCTCGGGAAAAAACCATAAAAACAAGAAACTGAAAAATAGGTTACACTACAGCTTAAAGAGTTCTTTCATTTGAGAAAATAAGAAATTTCATGCCATATACACTTTAAAGGACAATGGCAACGAAAATTTTTATTGGCTATTTCAATCCTACTTGACGACCTAACTATGAGAGTATTATAATTTCCTTCTCGAACATTTTAGTCTACGAGTAAAATGCTTGCAAACTTTGTGTTTCGCCTCATCTTGGAAAAATTTTTTGAACAATTATCTCGAAGGTCAATGAACTTTGTGACGTCATTCGCTGGGTAGCACCAAAACTACAAGAGAGAATGCGTGTTATGTTAGCTAAAAATATGTCATTTTGAGCGTTATACTGGCCAACACTCTTTGCAATCAAACAAGAGAAGTCTACACTATCAGAAAAAAACATATCGAGCAACTGGGAAAGCAAGGAATAGCGCAATTTACAATACAGGTAATTTAATATAAAATATTGCATTAGTATTTGCCTTGTTACACTCGAATTTTTGCGCTTATTTAACATGGAGTAGGATATATACTATGAGAAATAGTGTTACAAACAAGTTACATACTTGGTAAAACTTTTCTGCTTTTTGTTTTGGCTCAAAATGCACTACACGTGGTAATACACGGTATTGTTTATAGTCATGAGATTGTGTTTACCCAGCCAATGACGTCAGATAATGTATTTTGTGGTATAAATTAGCATACGCGCTTATTTTCAAAATGGCGGACAACTGTTTAGTCAACTTTTCTCAAATTCAATCAAATTTTCTCAACACCTAAACGCGACAAACTGGCCAAAATATGAAATTAAATATTCCGTAAGTATACCTAATAGATATAAGTAATAAAAATTTTAGTTGCCAATGTCCTTTAATTAAGGTAGTAATATAACTCACTCAGAACAGCATTTTATCTAAAATACAGTTTTTGGTTATCTGTCGTTTGTATTTGTACGCGTACTATAAAAGCAGCGTGTAATTCAACAGATTCCACTTGATATATATCCTTGCTTATGCTTTAGTGAATATTACTTCCATAAACATAAAACATTAACATTAACATTAACATTAACATTAACATGTTACCTGTGATTGCCCTTTAACTCCTGGTTTTGGCAACAAATGCATTGCTTTTTCTCATTTGGCTCGCTGCGAGTGATAATTGTGCTTTATCAGTTCTTTGTACTATTTAGTTCTATTTGCTCTTAATTTCCGCAGCAATCCCTATCTTGCAGGTACCCTTGTTCAGTTACTAACCTTTGTTTGTCTCGAGAAAAAGAAAACACGTGCTCGAATGGAAATCTATTCTGCAATATAGCCGCGCGTTGCATGTTGGTAAAATTACTTTCAACCAACATGCTTTGCGGCTCTAGCAAGATGAGATCTTGAGTAGCTGTACCTGTACGATTTTAGCCAGCTGCCTTGCTCGCTCGCATTATTGCTCGCTCGCTAACAATACTAAGCAACTTTCATTACCATGTTATTGACGGAAAAAGGCTTTTTCATGGAGAAATCGGCGTTTTAAAACCCTACCTTTTCCTTTCTCAGCATCAAGCTTAATGGTATCATGCACATCACAAATATCAATGGAGATAAACTATCTCCTTGAAAAATACCTCGTCTTATATTCACATTTCCAATACTTTCTCCCGAAGATGTTAACTCAGTTTTTCAGTTCTTTATACTACTTTCCACAAACGTTCTCACATTTGCTGCGATTTTGAACATACTCATACATTCCATTATACAAGAATGAGGTACCATATCATATGCCTTGCGATAGTCTATCCAGGCCATCGATAAATTTGTATGTCTTCTTTTACAACTCTTAAAACTAACTTATCAATTAACAATTGGTCTTTTGTTCCTCTAGTCTTTCTTCTACATACTTTTTGTTCATTCGGTAGTACATCATTCATCTCCAGAAAAGTGTACATACTTTCAGCAATCACACCTGTCATCAATTTCCCCTTGATGGGTCTTTTAAGCACAACACTGTCCTACCATATGTGATCCATTGAGGTAGTTCAGCCTTACCATTTAAAATCTTATCTAACTGTTCTGCAATCCTTTGATGACAAGAAATAATTTTCTTTATCCAATAACCCTGTATTCCATCTAATCCTGGCACTTTCCAATTGGGGATCTTTTTACACTGCTTTATAATGTCTTCCTTATTTATCTTCAAATCGTTTTGGTTCAAATATCCGATTCCCTGTTTCATTTCATGTAGCCATTCAGAATCCTTATTATGTTCAATTCCATTGTCCCATATTTCGCTCCAGAACTTTATACTTTCATCCGCGTCAGGTATCACTTTATCAACTTTACGTTCCTGACCATTGTTGATTTCCACATAAAACCTTTTTTGGTCACTCTGAAACATTCTATTCTGCCTATATTGTTTCACCCTCTGTTCATACCTCTTTACCTTCGCTATTTTCGCTAGTACCCTCTGCTCAAGCTCCTCAGTCACTGTTGGTAACCCCTTTGTTCTTATTTTATATTTTTCCTCGAGTCTTTTATATTCACCTTCCTTTCTGATTTCTCCCCTTTTCTTCCTTTCTAGTATGTTAATATCTTTCCTAAGCCGTTTTATATCCATATCTAGTCTTCTTTTCCACCATGGCTCCTTTTGTTTGCTTTGTTCAATCACTTCCTTCAGTCCAATTTTCTCTGCCGCTACACTCCGTACTGCTTTCAATAATTTGTTTGTGTCAGTTATATTATCTGTTTGTATTCGTACTACTAGCTTATTCACTTTTGCTGTAATTTCATTTATTTTCCATCTGTCCACCTTCTTAAATGTGAATACTTTATAATCTTCTTCACCTTTCATTATCTCGATTATCCTATCAACAATCTCTTTCTCGTCCTTACTTAGCTCTCCATATCCTTCAACTCGAATACATTCTTCTGCTCTATCCTCAGATTGCTCTGTTGTATGTGTATCTTCCCGATATTGTACATTCCTTCCACTTGCTGTCTCTTCATTTTCATTTCTCATTACTCCATTCATGGTCATATCACATCCCACTTCTTCTCTTTGCAAGTCACTTTCTCCATGATTTATTTCCTCACTTAATACTCTTTATTTTATACTCTCCAGTTCAATGTCTGTTAACCAACCTTTCTTCCTTATTGCTCTAGCTTGATCGCAAATTCTTTGTTCTTTTGCGGGAAATACTCCTCTCTCATTCCAGATCCTATGCATTCGCTGTCGGTATCCTCGTTGAGGTTTTCCATTTTCGCTAAACGGCTTACTTAAATAAAAGCACTCCATTAAAACAAAATTGATTTCTTTCGTCCATTTCAATCTTATAGCTTCAGCAGTAGCATGACGACTGGGCCTGTGCTGCTGATCCACAGGACACCTGCCGGACGAGGGACCTTCACTAGTCGTTCCAGTGTCATTTACGTCGTTGTCTTCTACATTAGTAGTATTCATAATTTTTCACCCATATATATAAGGTTCATGTAATGTGTACGGTTTGTAAGTCCATCCTGTATTGCGCGACTCTCATCTCATTATTATTATTATTATTATTATTATCTGTCTTGTAACAAGTATTGAACTTGGTAAATCGTTTCGCTACTTAGGTCGCTATTTTGACTTCAACATGTCCGACGAAGATCACAAATTTGAAGTATATGACACACTTACTAATATCCTGAATGAAATTGATGATCTACCATTACATCCGAAAAACAAAATCTCTTATACAGTCGTTATGTGATTTCCAAAATCTCTTGGCACTTCACTGTTTCTGACATATAGGCAAAACCTGGGTTAACGATAAACTAGATAGTATCGCGTCCACGTATATCCGAAAATTGTTTGAACTTCCTATTTCTGTAACCCTTAGTAACGTCCTACTTCCCCACAATAAATTTGGATCATTCTACCTTCAACCAAATTCCTTCAATGCCAAACTGTTTGTCGGAAAGCCCTAAAGTCGTCGCCAAATGAAGCGATCAATAACCTTTGGAAGGATACTAGCAATCACAAAAATGTACAATATGACAAATACAAAAACACCAAGGACGTATTAAACACCATCAGGAAACAACATGAAGACAAGCTTCAACAAGACATCATTTCACAAGGCTCATTTTTCTCCAATATCATTAAACATTCTACACTCTCATTCAACTCTATATGGTCCTCCGTTCAGAGTAAATGTAATGTTATATGAAGTACATGTAAGAATATGTGAGCCTGCAGTACAATAACAGTATAAATGGCAGCCATATTTGTATATCTTGATCTTACAATAAAGTAACGTTCTAAAATATAACATGGTGGCAGCGGGAAGTTAAATAACATGGAAAAACCTACTTCGTCTGATGCCAAGCCTCAACAAGTACAATTAACGGGGATTTCGCCACCTAAACCGCTTCGTATGGTTGGTGATAATCTCGCTGAAATCTGGAGACTTTGGAAACAGCAATGGGAAAATTATGCCATTGTAGCACAACTTGACTAACGCCCAGAAAAGTTTCGTGTCGCTATGTTTCTACATGCTGTTGGTCCTGAAGGGCTTAAGGCCTACAACACAATGACATTCGAAGACGAACCAACATTACAGAGCATTCTCTCAAATTTTGAACAGCTGGCTATCGGGACACTAAATGAAACTTATGAAAGATACATTTTTAATCGAAGAAATCAAGAGCCCGATGAAAGTATCGCTCAGTATATAACAACATTAAGAGCCTTGTCTCGCACATGTAATTTTGGCGATTTACATGACAGTCTGCTGAGAGACCGAATTGTCCTTGGTGTTAATGACCCGAATACTCGAAAGAAATTGCTACAAGAAAGAGATTTATCGCTGGATCGTTGCATAGATATCTGCAAAGGGGCAGAAGCAACTAAACATCAAATAAAAGCAATGGGAGAAGAAGGAAAGATTCAGCAGATGCGAAAGAACTTTGAAAAGAAAAAGAGGCAATATAATCCAGTTCAAAAGGAACAATATTCTGGTATACGAGAGTGCAAATTTTGTGGACGTAAACACGAAATGGTGAAATCAAAGTGTCCTGCCTTAGGTAAGACTTGCAATTTATGTAAGCGTAGTAATCATTTTGCTGCTAAATGCCCTAGAAAGGATAAGAAAATTAGGATTGTTGAAGAGACAGATTCGTCTGAACTGTCATCAGAGACCGAATTTATAAGTACAGTCTCAAGAATAAACTCCCTCGGGGGGAAGTCGTCCGCTGCAATATATGCCAATATGTTAATTGATAATCAGCCTGTAAAATTTCAAGTTGACTGTGGTGCCTCAGTTAATACAATTTCTAAACGCCTCGTACAAGGAAAAAAAATAGACAATGGTCCTGTTAGTCTGCGAATGTGGAATTCATCAAAGGTGCAAGCTATAGGAACATGCCGTTTGAAAGTCATTAACCCAAGTAATAACAGGAAGTATTCTATAGAATTTGTGGTAGTAGATAATGATAATTTGACTCCTCTGTTGGGTTCTGAAGCTTCACAACAGATGGGGCTCATAACAGTAAACACTGACAAGTTTGTTTGCATGAATGTTATCACTGGGTTACCTCAGTCAGAAACGAAATCTATTCGAGATGAGTTTGCTGACATATTTGATGGATCCCTCGGAACATTCCCTGGAACAGTCCATTTAGAAACTGATTCATCAGTAACCCCCATCTATTCTACCACCCCGACGAGTACCTCACGCTATAAAAGACCAGTTAAAGGGAGAGTTAGATGATATGGTTAAAAAAGGGATTTTGAGCCCAGTCGAAAAGCCCACTGAATGGGTAAGCCAATTCGTTGTTTGCCGAAAGAAGTCAGGCAAATTGAGAGTATGCATAGACCCCAAACCTCTAAACAAAGCACTTAAAAGGGAACATTATCATTTACAAGTTTTGGATGATGTTCTCCCCAGCCTTAATAAAGCAAAGGTATTTACAAAGCTTGATCTTGCATCTGCTTTTTGGCACATCCAATTGGATGAAGAGTCGAGTTTTCTGACTACCTTCAATACACCCTTCGAAAGGTACAGGTGGCTCAGACTACCATTTGGTATTAAAGTATCATCTGAGATTTTCCAGAAGCACCTGAATCAAGTCCTGGAAGGTTTAGTTGGAGTGGTGTGCATCGCCGATGATATTGTTGTATATGGTTGTGGTGAAACAATGGAAGAAGCCCAACGTAATCATGATAACAACCTGACCAACGTGTTGAAGAGATGCAGAGAAAAGAATGTTAAGCTAAGTTACGAGAAGTCTATGTTCAATCGTGCAGAAATACCATTTATGGGACATCTGATTACGAAGGAAGGGCTCAAACCAGATCCTGCCAAGATTGATGCTGTTGCAAACATGACCAAACCCACTGATGTGAAGAGCATCCAAAGATTCATTGGTTTTGTGACATACTTAAGTCGGTTCCTTCCTGACCTCTCCGACCGCCTAGAACCTTTGAGACAACTTGTTAAAACCAACCAAGCTTGGAATCAAACCCATGACGAGATATTTGAGGATGTGAAACGCCTGATAACCACAAGTCCTGTCCTTGCGTACTACAACCCTGAAGAAGACCTAGTTATCCAGTGTGATAGTAGTGGTACAGGTGTTGGAGCGGCGTTGATGCAAAACGATCAGCCAATAGCTTACGCGAGCCGTGCATTGGGTGATACAGAAACACGTTATGCACCTATAGAAAAGGAAATGTTGGCAGTCGTGTATTCCTTAGAACGGTTCCATCAGTATACATATGGTCGGCACACCGTGGTATACAGCGACCATAAGCCACTGGAGATGATACTCAAGAAGCCGCTTATTAAGGCACCAAAGAGGCTCCAGAATATGATCCTTAGAGTACAAAAGTACGATTTTACATTGTTTTATAAGCCTGGAAAAACAATGTATCTTGCCGACACCCTTTCAAGAGCTCATACCACAGATGACAAAGACCCAATCATGGATCAAGCAGATGTTAATGTGGTGACCTATCTCCCAATGAGCGAAGAGCGCCTCAGTGAAATAAAAGGAGAAACTGCATGTGATAGTACTTTACAATTATTGATGACAACCATTGCTAATGGGTGGCCTCAAGAGCGTTCTAAGTTACCCGAAAGACTAATGCCGTATTGGAGCTACCGAGATGAGCTCGCTGTGCATGATTCGTTGGTATTCAAAGGTCATCAGGTTGTCATTCCCTTGACGCTTCGCGAAGATATGAAAGCCAGGATCCACTCAGCGCATTTGGGTGTTGACGGTTGTCTGAGACGAGCTCGTTTGTCCTGTTTTTGGCCAAGAATGGCAAGTGATCTGAAGCAGTATATTTTGGCCTGCGACATCTGTCGAACGTACGGCACCTGCCAACAAAAGGAGCCGTTGCATCCCCATGAAGAAGTAACCCGACCTTGGGAGAAAGTCGGATCAGATTTATTCACACTAGAAGGGAGAACGTATTTAGTAACTGTTGACTATTATAGTAATTTTTGGGAGATTGACTACCTACCAACAATTACATCCGTTGCTGTGATTAACAAGACGAAAGCCCATTTCGCCAGATATGGAAGTCCAAGTGTTTTGGTGAGTGATAATGGTCCACAATACGTATCGGAGTCCTTTGAAAGATTCGCCAAAGTATGGGACTTTGAACATCGTACTACCTCTCCAAGGCACAGCAAGTCTAATGGCAAAGTGGAATCGGCTGTTAAGACTGCAAAACGATTGCTAAGGAAGAGTATGGACGCCAAGACCGATCAATACATGGCACTGTTAGACCACAGAAACACACCAACCCAAGGGTTAACAAGTAGTCCAGTGCAGCGATTTATGAGTAGGAGAACAAGGACAACGATTCCAACAACTGTCGAACTGCTCGAACCACAAGTAATTAAGGAAACGGATCGACAACAATCAAGAGTAAAGAAACAAATGATCTATTACAACACTGGAGCAAAACCCTTACCTCCGTTGAAAGTAGGAGATGTGGTGCGAATGAGGCCGTATCAGCTTGGTGACAAGAAGTGGAAGAAGGCGATCGTGAAAGAGAAATTGGATTTCCGATCTTACATGATTAGTGTCAACGGACAAATCTACAGACGGAATCGAGTGGAGACCGAAGAGACCCCAGATAATACAAGGAGTGTACATTGGCCGAGGTTTTCAACTAAGAAAGCAAGTGATGCTTGTGAAAATCCTGAAAGACAAGAGCTAGCAAAGCAAAACCTAACTGACAATTCGAAAGCCAACGCGTCGCTAAGAAGCAACGTGGAAATGCCAGGAACAAAATATTACCGAACACGATCCGGAAGACAAGTAAAGCCACCGCAGAGGCTAGATTTGTAGAGACATATTATTAAACATTTAGAAGTAGATATAGTAATAGAAGTAACAATAAAATTACATGGACAAGTTTTTTTTAAAAAAAAAACAATAAACAAATAGAAAAAAAAAACAAACAATAGTTAATTTAATTAAAGGAACAATAGTATAATTAAGTTTTTTTAAAATTTTTTTTAAATAATAATAGGGATGTAATGTTATATGAAGTACATGTAAGAATATGTGAGCCTGCAGTACAATAACAGTATAAATGGCAGCCATATTTGTATATCTTGATCTTACAATAAAGTAACGTTCTAAAACATAACAATTATGAATTCACGCCTGTACTGGTAAGACGCAATTTCTTTGAAGGCACGCACTGAAACTGGAAATATATTTGACATAGACACGCGAATTAATATACACTATATAATTGCTACTATATCGCTAAATTTAATGAGAAACAATTGTAAATATATATAGCACTAACATCTAAATTCGGTCTGCCACTGCATATATATATATATTTGGCATTGACCATTCGAACGTACATTTTCATTCCATGTCTTTGTCAGTTTGTTAATTAATTTTAATTATAATTATGTGCAATTGCGCAAATGTTATGTATTGTACTTAGAACGATATATAACAATTTATGTATTATACCAGTGTCACCGACTTTTCTCGTAAATATTCGCAGTTTAGTGAGTAATAGCGGGAAAATATAATACAATTTTACAGTCGCGAGTTCCTCATTGACATTTTGTGCTCGAATTTTTGTGTCGGCGCGATAAAGTTCTCACAAGTGATTTAGGCGCTTTACAAAGTAATTTAGTCATTTTATCGTAACTTATACTCGGTTCTTGTAACTTTTTCGTGCGAATAAACACCACTGAATGGACGACAACATTACGTTCAAATTCCACACGTAAAATCACTGTTTCCTCGTCCTGTTTGTCGGCATCTATTGGCACTCGGTATTCAGGGTATACCGGTTCATTTTCCATCTTTGCGTAACTTAAAAATTAAAATTTAGCAAGTGAGAATTTATCATATATACCCAATAATGACACCAGCCAAAAGATCTGTGGTGTCGGGCTATAGTGTAATGTCATTTTCAAAAATGCTTTCTACTGAATAATTGAGGGCCAGCACTGCAACAAGTGTTTGGATCTGATGGGTATAGATATTGTCTTCTGAGAAGATAAAATATGGAGTTCCATAAGGTTCCATTTTGGGTTCTTTGCTATTTTTAGTAAAATATATAAACCCTGAACTTGAAAATATCTAATCGTAAATAAAAAAGGATAAACAACGAATTATAGTTAAACCTGAATTGGGCAAAATGGCAATCGTAGACTGAATAAATAGCTGAGTAATATAATTCATATAATTAAATATTTAAAATACCTGAAAATGGTCGGATCGTACTGCTTGTAACTGCCTGGTTTGCAGAGAGCTTTAATCAGAACACACCATTCGTCACCTTGTGATTCCACTTTCTCTGCATAAACACTGTCGGCAGCGTACCAGATACTAGGAGAAACAAATATTGCCGCAGCCCAATTCTGAACTCCCTGATACTCTTTACCTAAAGCGTAATGACCAGGGGGTGGTTTGATACCTTTCTTTCCAGCTGGAAGAAGACCGTGTTCCATGATTGATTCCAGATTTTTGTACCGAGTGCCGTGCCAGGTCAGCTTCCAAGACTGCATCAATTCTGGTAATTTTACACGTGTTTCTGCGTCGTAAGCATTTAGATGTCGGATGAACTCTATCGCGAACACTTGCTTGTTTGCTTTGTTTCGGCATTTTCGCACTTTAAAGACGAGTTTTCTTTCCTTCATTATACCTGCCAGGCTGTAGATAGGGCTTGAGTGTTGATTTTCAATCATGTTCCTTATTTCTGTTGTCGCACTTTCTTCCAAAGCAGTTTTACCCCATGAGTTTTTTATGTCAGTTCGCGCGACATATTCAAACAATAACTCAACAACTTGAGGATGACCAAAGTATGCTGCAGCGTGAAGGGGTGTGCTACCATCTTTTTGGATCTTATTGTTATCTGCGCCATTTTTTAGCAGCATTTTCACTATGTCAGTAAAGCCTGATTTACAAGCTAGGTATAGCAATGTGCGACCGTGTTCGTCTGTGGATTCGATCAAGGATGCGTTTCTTTTGATCATGTTGCGGAGCTCTTCTGTGTCACCGTACGCTGCCACAGTGAAATGGTCAGGATTTCTGATGATATACAGGTCAGTGCCTTGCTGTCCCTGGTATCTTGGTGCTGTCGAGGTTAAAATATGATTGGCAAGGGAAATTAATGCTTGATTTTGGACCGGTGCGCCTGCGATCATTTTTGTGAAGGCCAGTTTAACATCATTGCGCGAAGACGAAGCTGAGTTTAGACCGAGAATTTCCCAAGGGTTGAAGGGGAATTGAATACAGACACTAGATTGACCAATTGTATATGATATCGAAGAAAATGGTGCATTGGTAGCTTGAGCTGTACTTTTCTCTGGCTTTTCATCGGATTTAGCACTCCAAAACCCTCCCATTGCAAAATCTAAAACGGAATGACAAATAACCGGATTTAACAGATCTTTCTGACACTGTCTTCATCTTTATGCCTGCGTGTATACTTTGGCTATAATTATAACTGGAGTGCTATTCATCCTTACTTCAGTGTCCATGCGAGGTATGAGTCTGAATTACAAAGGACGCGCAGCTCAACCTGAACCAGTCAAAGGCTTACTATATGAGGGCGCCTCTCTAAATCCGATCACAGGGCACAGCTATGATTGAAGAGATGTTTTGAATTCTGTGAAACCAGTCCAACCCCCCAGTCAACATTCTCGTTGGAAAAAATTGAGGGAAACCCATGATTTTAGTAAAGCGTTGGCGTATCATGAGCGATCTCACGAGTTGTGGAATTAATCATGTGATATAGTTCAATGATATTGATGCCGTTAAGCTGAAATACTGTCACTATACGGTGCGAGATATTTATCGGATAATTACTGAAATCCCCTACTGTTCAAGTGTCGTCATTTGAAAAGGACTTGGCGAGTCTAATCGTTCCTAGTGTAACGGAATTTGCTTCCAAAAAATCTTTTACAGCTTAAATAATATATTTGCATTAAGAAAATGTATCAAAATACAATGTTAGGGTATAGATATTGACTGCTGTTAATTGTTCAGAAATACGACATTGACTTACTCGTACATTAACGACATTAACAAACTTTCGTTCGTCCCTAGGCCTAGGTCTGAGTTGTGAAGGGTCTTCACAACTAAGACCTCACAATTTGAAATTCTCCTTATATTTTTCAGGTACGGATGCATCCCTACCAACGAGAGCTTGTTTATTTGATTGGCTGACTACCTACACTGGCAAAGACAATTTACTTATTCGTACAGTTTCGTCATAATTGGCTTTGTGTATTAAAGCTTTTAAGCTTAAAATGTCGTATCCTTTGGCAAAGCTAAAAATGTTACTTTTTGCGTACATACGGTTATGTTACCACCACTACCATACGATTATCTTATTTACTGTTTAGGCGTATCGACCATTGAGTTAACAGTTAAACAAACGTACCTGTTTAGTGTCACTTGAGCCGACCAATGACATGAACGAACTGAAGCAGTAGCAATCTGCTTATCTTAGATTTTGCTTTCGTATTCTCCTTCTAAGAAATGGAAATATATCTTGCCAGAGAGTGAAACAGAAAGTGTCTAATTACGTCATGATTTATGTCAAAAAGTCGCCACCTTGTTTATCTACCAATCATTTTGGCAAAAACTTACGTCTGTATTCTAAAAGCTCACTCACACTCAAAGAGTGGAGGTTTAATCTGAGCCCCCTTGAGTGTCAGTGCTGTTTTTGAATAGCTGGAGGGTGAGTGTCGTTCCTTTATATACTATATGTGACTACTACGGTGGCCGATCAGGGTCATTCACGCACAAAAAGTGAAATCACCCCACAATATCATGAAACACGCCAACAAATGGGCGATTCACGCCACAATTCCACGATTCACGCCACAATTTCACGAATCACGCCACAAAGAAACCGCTGACCGATCACGGTCTCAATACCGATTAAATTCATTATTTCCCGCCTTTTCCCGCACCCGCATGGCAGTATGAAATAAGCGTAAACATGGCTGATCGACAACGGCCAGTGTCTCTCTCCTCCGCAGAGGCTTTAGTTTTCTTAGGATTTAATATTACGATGAGATACATTTCACTAGTCAGTGTATTCACTGTGGAGAAGCTCTCGTGGATTTCTTTAACTTTTGTGAGACAGCATGTGGCTGATCCGGTTAATCAGGATATCAAAGAGTATCTTCACTGACCTTCACTATGTTTGCACATCAGAAGGATTAGAAAAGCCTACTGAGTACTGGTTAGAAATGTGCTCTGAACAATTTTAAAACAAATAGCTGAACAAGTATAGATTTTAACAATTAATATAGTTTTTTGTTTGTATTTTTTATTGTTTGTATATTTTTCAACACTTTCGGTCTAAAATTGAATAATTATCAATTTTTAACTTAACTAATCCTTTAACAAGTGTCACATTCAAAACTCTTCATATCAACTATAAAACTGTTTTTATAAAGACAATTTTAACTTCAACAAAAAAGATTAATGTAAATAACAATAGTATTATTGGCCAAGTTACTTTAAGCAATATTTGTTAAAATATACGAATACTAAAACCATTTTCATTGTTTAAAAGCCGTCTCTGTGCTTTGATATAGATGTGTTTCACGAAGCACTATCGTGCAGCAGATGGTGGTCAACTAACAGTTACCAGAATGAGAAAATTATGTTCATTAGCCTCTCTCACGAAGGCCAAATTCGCCATTCTTGACCATTCTTGGGGTACTTTTTTGAAAACGACGTGAAAAATCTAGTAAGCGATGTGAAAACATTTTTTCAAATATTTAACTGTAAATTAACTTACAATGATTATACTCACAATTATAGTTATGCAAGCCCCTTATTCACTGCGTACAATCTCAGATTTGGAAAAGCCAGTACCCCAAAAATGGTGGCGTGAGAAAGGCCAAGTCTCTTCATTCTTGCAGTGGATAAATGAGTGCATGCTCATTTATGTTTTTGGCCGCCCTTCAGTTCAACTGTTGATCACCATCAGCTGTTGTGCAACGCTTACTGAAACTCACCAATTGGGAAATTTGAGCGATTATGAATTCACGCCTGTACTGAGACGCGATTTCTTTGGAGGCACGCACTGAAACTGGAAATATATATGCATAGACACGCGAATTAATATACACTATTAAAAAACTCATTAATAATTCATGAAGAAAACACAAAGAAAAATCATAAGCGTGTCGTATCTGTATATGTGATACAGATTCATGTTGATTTACATAAACTTTAACTTTGATTTTCTCGGCTTAGACAAGGTTTATTTTTAAAATTACTTCGCCAATGAACTCATAAGATGAGTCGTTTTTTAAGTTGTTTGCTGATACAACACGGCCGCTCATGTTGTAAACATTACTAATTGCTACTATATCGCTAAATTTAATGAGAAATCAATTGTAAATATATATAGCACTAACATCTAAGTTTGGTCTGCCACTGCATATATATATTTGGCATTGACCAATGACTCATTCGAACGTATATTTTTATTCCATGCATGTCTTTGTCAGTTTGTTAATTAATCTTAATTACAATTATCAATATGTGCATATGTTATGTATTGTATTTAGAACGAAAAATAACAATTTATGTTTTATACCAGTGTCACAGATTTTCATCGAAATATTCGCAAAATATAATATAATTTCCCAGTCGATTCCTCATTAACATTTTTTGCTCAAATGCGTAAAGATCCAACCTCGTACCCAGGGCTTCTGCGTTGAGAGCAATAAGCGCAGAAGCCCAATCTCGTTCCCCGAACCTGCGATCCTAGGGAAGGAACGTGAGGCTCTGGGATAATCCGTTCGAGGGAGGAATCTGATTGGCCGTTGAAATGGAATGCGTAGTTCAATCTTAGTCAGGATTCCTGGCTCCCGGCAACGGATTATCCCAGAGCCTCGCGTTCCTTCCCGAGGATCGCAGGCTCGGGGAACGAGATTGGCAGACGTCCAAAGAAGCCCTGGGTACGAGGTTGGTAAAGATCCCGCAAGTAAAAGCAAGTGTTATAGGCGCTGTAAAAAGTGAGTACATTATAATGCCAGTGATTCTTAGCACGCTTGTGTCTATATTCGGCTGTATCTGATGAATATACCTTCATTACGAACATTTTGCATAAAAAATCGCAACATTTCACAAGATATAATGACTTACTTCGTTTAACAGAAGAAATAGAGTTGTTTTTCACGATGGTTCTTCGCGAAAATATGGGCCAATACAAATTAAATTTTGTATAGATTTCTTATAAATATCTCAAGAGTCGGCCATTTTCTAGGACGCCAAGCGCCCAAAGTTTAACTGGCATGATATTCACTCTTTAAATAAGTTCGTCATTTCATCGAAACTTATACTTGAATCCTGCAACTTTCTCGTGTGAATAAACAGCACTGAGCGGACGACAACATTACGTTCAGATTCTACACGTAAAATCACTGTTTCATCGTCTTTCTTGTCGCCAACATTTGGCACTCGGTATTCAGAGTATTCTGGTTCGTTTTCCATCTTCGCGTAACTTAAAAATTAAAATTTAACAAGTGAGAGTTTATCATATACCCAGTAATAACATCAGCCAAAAGATCTGTGGTTTTGGACCGGTACAATGTCATTTTTCACTGCTTTCTACTGCATAAACCGCTAAAATATATCTGAATAATTGAGCTAGGGCCAACGCCCAACACTGCAATAGATATTGTCAGTCTGAAAAGATAACATGTGGAGTTCCACAAGGATCTATTTTGGGTCCTTTGCTATTTTTATACAAACCCTGATCTTGAAAACACCTAATCGTAAATAAAAAAAGGTAAACAAAGTATTATGGTTAGATATACAGTAGATAGCCGGATAGATAGATAGATAGTTGGTTTAATAATCACAAACATTGCAGCCCGCAATAGCTGAATTGCGTCGTGTTACAAAGTTAAAAGTTAAAACTATCAATAGTTAACTGATACATTTAAAATACCTATGTTAATTTACAATTGGTCCTAAAATTTTACCTAATAATAAATTCATTAATTACATCTGATTCAATATTTTATAGTCTGTAAAATTAGACATTGATGGAATAAAAGTGTTCTTTAAGCCTAGTTTCCATAAGGTTATTAGCTGTCGTTACCTGTCTTTCGGGGTCCTTGGAGTAATCTTGAAAGACCGATAACGACTGGTTGAAACAGAAAACGACAGTGTCGCTGGCAGTCTTTTGGCAATCTTCTTAACGGCGCGAAAAACAAAATGGCGGCGCTTAACAGGGAGTTTCTTCTTCAATTAAATTTGTTTATACTCCTTGCGATAAGGCGACAACAAAGAAAAAGGAAAAAACATCGCTTCTGGGTCAAAGAAATTTTTCAGAAGCGAGAAGAGCTTGGTGCGTACCATAGTCATAGACTAGTCCTAGAACTTCGTCTGCAGGACAGAGAATACTTCTTCAGGTTCGTACTTTTATCTTTTATCGTACGTTTCGTCAGAATAGTCAATAACCCCATCTGTATCCGCCATTTTGAATTGGGAACAAGCAGCATTATGGTAAGAATCGTGTCGTTTCCTGTCGTTTTATGTCGTTGAGATAGGATTTGTTCTATCCCAGCGACACTCGGTCGTTTTCTGTTTCTCTCAGTCGTTATCGGTCTTTCAAGATTACTCCAAAGAAGCCGAAAGACAGGTAACGACAGCTAATGACCTTATGGAAACTAGGCTTATACCGATTTGTTCGACAAATTGGAGGGCTAAAAAGTCGTTGTCGCCTTAAGTAGTAGCAGGGGACATTCTTTGGTGGCAGAAGATGATAACGTTTGTGCGTTTCGTTAGATGTAATATATAGAAAACCTGCATTCAACAAAATGGCGATCATCTACATGACCCTCGACCCTCATCTGGTCTTATACCGAATGAATAGCTGAATAATATTAATTCATATAATTCAAAATTTAAAATACCTGAAAACGGTCGCATCGTACCGCCCGTAACTGTCAGGTTTGCAAAAAGCTTTAATCAAGACACACCATTCGTCACCTTGTGATTTCACTTTCTCTGCATAAGCACCGTCGGCAGCGTACCAGATACTGGGGGAGACAAATATTGCCGCAGCCCAATTCGGAATTCCCTGATACTCTTTACCTAAACCGAAATGACCAGACGGTGGTTTGATACCTTTCTTTCCAGCTGGAAGAAGACCGTGTTCCATTATTGATTCCACATTTTTATACCGAGTGCCGTGCCAGGTCAGCTTCCAAGATTGCATAAATTCTGGTAATTTTTCGCGTGTTTCTGCGTCGTAAACATTTGGATGTCGGATGAACTCTATCGCGTACATTTGCTCGCTTGGTTTGGTTCTGTATCCTTTAAATTCAGAGACAAGTTTTCTTTCCTTCATTATACCTGCCAGGCTGTTGATAAGGTCCGGGGGTGGATTTTCAATCATGTTCCTTATTTCTGTTGTCGCACTTTCTTCCAAAGCAGTTTTACCCCATGAGTTTTTTATGTCAGTTCGCGCGCCATATCGAATCAAGAACTCGACAACTAGAGGGTGACCAAAGTATGCTGCAGCGTGAAGGGGTGTGCTACCATCTCTTTGGATCTTATTCTTATCTGCGTCATTTTCTAACAGCATTTCCACAATATCTTCAAAGCCTGATTTACAAGCTAGATATAACAATGTGCGACCGTGTTCGTCTGCGGATTCGACCAAGGATGCGTTTCTTTTGATCATGTTGCGGAGCTCTTCTGTGTCACCATACGCTGCCACAGTGAAATGGTCAAGATTTCTGATGGTATACAGGTCAGTGCCTTGCTGTCGCTGGTATCTTGGCGCTGTCGAGGTTAAAATGTGATTGGCAAGGGAAACTAATGCTTGATTTTGAAGTGATGCGACTGCGATCATTTTTTTGAAGGCTAATTTAGCATCTTCGCGCGAAGACGATGCTGAGTTTAAACCAAGAATTTTCCAAGGGTTGATGGGGAATTGAATACAGATAATAGTTTGGCCAATTGTGTATGATGTCGAAGAAACTGATGCATCGGTAGCTTGGCTAACCATTGGAGGGCCATTGATAGCTGTAGGAGGATTAGAAGAAACTGGTTTTGGAGTCGGATGTGTAGGGAGTGTTCGACGAGCTGTACTTGTCCCTGGCGTTTCATAAACGTGTTCACGTCTAGTACTCATACACCCTCCCATTGCAAATCTAAAACAAAAGAACAAATAACCGGATTTAACAGCTAGGCCTTTCTGGCGCTGTCTTCATCTTAAGGCCTGCGTGTACATTGGCTATAATTGTTATTCATCCTTACGTGCACACGAGAGCTATAAGCTAGTCTGAATTACGAAGGACGCAGCCCAACCTGAACCATGCAGTCAAAGCCTTACTATAAGGGCACCTCTCTAACTCCGACCACAGGGTACAGCTATGATTGAAGAGATGTTTTGAATTCTGTCAACCCCCCCCCCACCCCCGCTGTCAACATTCTCGTTGGAAGAAACCGGGGGAAACCCATGATTTTAGTAAAACGTTGGCGTATCATGAGTGATCTCACGAGTTCGCAGCGTGAAAGAATCTGATATAATTACTGAAATCTCCTACTGTTCAAGTGACGTCATTTGAAAAGGACTTTGCGAAAGTCTAATTGTTCCAAGTGTAACGGAATTTGCTTCCAAAAACATAAAACATCTTTTACAGCTTAAATAATATATTTACACATCAATTACACATTAAAAATGTATCAAAACACAATGTTAGGGTATAGATATTGACTGCTGTTAACCAGTTCAGAAATACGACATTGACTTACTCGTACAGTTAATTAACAAGTTTTCGTTGGTCGCTACGTCTGAGTTGTAAAGTACCTTAAGTACGAAGGGTCTTAAGCTTCGTTCGAAACGCCGAAATTCTCCTTATATTTTCAGGTAGTTGCATCCTTACCAACGAAAGCTTGTTGATTTGATTGGCACTATCTACACTGGCAAAGACAGTTCACTTACTCGTACACTGATTTCATCACAATGTATATTAAAGCTTAATGTCGCATCCTTCGGCAAAGCCAGAAACGTCACTTTTTGCGTGTATACGATTTTTACCACTATTTACTATTATCATACGATTATCTTATTTACTGTTTAGGCGTATCGACCATGGGGTTAGCAGTTAAACTAACGTACCTGTTCAGTGTCACTTGAGCCGACCAATGACATGAGCTGACAAGGCCGAGGACAAAGTATATAGCTACCTACTTATCTTACATTTTGCTTTCGTATTCTCCTTCTAAGAAATGAAAAGGGTCTGAAAATGTATCTCGTCGGAGAGTGAAACTGAAAGTGCTTAATTACGTCACAATTTATGTCAAAAAGTCGCCACCTTGTTTATCAGCAAGGCAAAACTTTCTACCAATCTTTTTGGCAAAAACTAACGCCTGTATTCTAAAAGCTCACTCACTCTCAAAGAGTGGAGGTTCAATCTGAGCTTTCCTTGAGAGTCAATGCTGTTTCTGAGGGTTAGTGTCATACCTTACTATGTGACTACTCACCCTCCAGTTATTCAAAAACAGCAATGACAGTCAAGAGAAGCTCAGACTTTGAACCTCCACTCTTTTAGTGCGAGTGAGCTTTTAGAATATTGGCGTAAAACATTCTGTACTTCTCCACCTCTTCTACCGTCTAACGATCGAAAACCTCTGCTAGCAAGGTACAATATAAAAGCAACACAAAACAATGTACGCGTGTCTTTCTGTTGTGCATTACAATAATCAATACAAATTATTTATCATTACAGTCCTACCAACTAAATAACAATAGTCTAATTAGTCCAGTGGATATGCACAGATATTTGAGAAAATCATGCACTTTGTGAAGAAAGCACCAAATTCACAGGGAGTGTAGACTTTAACATGAAAATGAATCTTAGATATGGAGGCATCACCAAAATTGATGCTGACGGCTTAAAATTTAGGATTTCTTATATTCTCTTATTAATCTCTTATACAATTAAAAATTGTGAAATTGCAGGTTCACATATAGCAAAACTGACATGCGTCATTAGAAAGCTTACAAAAAACTGCATATAAGACATTTAAGTAGTTACTTTGATTTTCCAACTCCTCTGGAGTTATGAGCGGTTGAAAATATGTTTTAGGGCTAGTGTCCAGGACTTTGGCGGGATTTTTGCCTATTTATCACGTTTTTAAATAGCAATAACTGGAAAACTGCTTGGAAAATCAATCAGCCGTTTAAAAGTCTTATATGTAGTTTTTTTGTAAGCTTTCTAATCATGCAAGTCATTTTTGCTATATGTGAACCTGCAATTTCACAATTTTAAACAGTAATAGAGTTTAATAAGAGAATATAAGAAATCCTAAATTTTAAGCCGTCAGCATCAATTTTGGTGATGCCTCCATATCTAAGATTCATTATCATGTTAAAGTCTACACTTCCTGTGAATTGGGTGCTTTCTTCACAAAGTGCATGATTTTTTACTTTTCCGCTGGACTATATAAAGCCAATTCAAGAAAGGTTGTCCTTTGCAAACCTTAAACTCTAAGTACGTAAAGCTTAATGGGAGCACAAGTTTCAAGCTCTGTAGTTGAATATTGCAGCTATTGTGAATGAATTGTTCTCGTATAAGGAGATATTTACCATGTCTCTAAGAAATGTGCCCCATATATGATTTATAAAGCGTTGGACTACACTGTCCATAGTATCTGTCATGCATGCTGTTGTTGTTGTTGTTGTTGTTGTTGTTGTTGTTGTTGTTGTTGTTGTTGTTGTTGTTGTTGTTGTTGTTGTTGTTGTTGTTGTTGTTGTTGTTGTTGTTGTTGTTGTTGTTGTTGTTGTTGTTGTTGTTGTTGTTGAAACGCCTTACTTGGGTATCATTGAATAGGGAACAGGGAATTGAGGAATCGGGTAGTTAGTGAAAGATTATGAATATCGTTCGTGGTGGTATAATAGACAAAATTTCGATCAGGGAACCGCGACATATATTATAGGAATTAATATAGGAATATATACTATCTCTAGGTAATGGAGCAATCTCGTCAGAAGTTCAAAATTGATGAAATCTCTTATAAACTATATATTATTGATCCTTTGACCAACTTGCATATACAGATTACAGAACATTATGCAGCAAATAGGCGCTCTCTTATAATAAAAGGCTTTTAATTTGTATTAATTAAACACCAACACACACACAGGTATTTTAATTTGTTCTTAATTTTCTCTGTTCAGAACTGGGAAGGATGCAAAAAATTTCGATTCCTACAGACAGGTCACAGGATGTCTGCACTCCCCCACAAGCTTGCAATAGCAGTTAATTATACACGCAGTCAGGGGCGTCGCTACACCTTTTTGAATGGGGGGTGTAAGAGTGAATTTTGTCGAGTGACTACAACCGCTAATTAATATTTCTTTTCCCAAAAATGTTGGGAGGGGGGGCTGAAGGGGTGTGGGTGGAGGGATTGGTCGTAAAATTTTTTCCGGACTCACACAAAAATTTTTCCGGACATGTCATAATTTTTCCTAATATACAAAAATTTTCCGGACATATCATAAATTTTTACTAATGTACAAAAAATTTTTCAGGATATATATTAATTTCACCTTATCATAGTTACTTTCTTGATCTGAAATAAGCGGCAAGTATTTTTTTATGTTTTCGATCAGAGTTACAGTTAAGATTTGTTTCAAAGCCAACAGTCAGTTGCAAAACATATATATATATGTTATTTACCGGCTGCGAGGTCCGTACTGAAAAAATATTTTCCCGAGGTCTCAGAAGCGGCCCTAAGCCGAAGGCCGAGGGACGCTTCTGAGGCCGAGGGAAAATATTTTTTAGTACGGACCGACCTAAACGGTAAATAACGTGTTTATTTTTTATTTGATAGTTCATGGTATTGGTTATAATGAAATTCCGATAAAATCCCAGTTGCGAAGTACATTTGAGATCAGTTGCGTTTGTTACTTTAGTGCAAGCATGGCTGACAAACTGGCTGACAAACGACGCGATAAAAGCTGGATAAAAAGCTTTTAGTTTCATTGCAATAGATGCTTTTCTACTCAACAAGAAAACAGAAGGTGAACAAAGTAAAAATATTTATTTTCCGATTCGTTTTGCAGCATGGACATGTTTGAAAAATGCTTTTTGACAGACAAATACAAATTTTAGTTGCCGAAAAACAACTTCAGTTGTTTTTTACAACATTTATAAAAACAATTTTGCCCGAATAAGCCCAGGGGCCGGTTGTATAAAAACATAGTTAGCGCTAACTGCAGTTAAAAAGTAGTTAAAAAGCCTTAAAAAATAGTTAACTTTAATCACGTAGTTAAGCCGGTTGTATAAAAGTGTAGTTAGCCTTAACTGCAGTTAAAAAGTAGTTAAAGTTAACTATGCCCAAGGGTATAGTTAACTGTCCAAAACGTAGTTAAAAATGGCCTTTACAACATTTTTCAGTAAAACAATAATGAAAAGCAACGTTTACCTGAGATTTTCAATTGCTATCTTCCATGTGAATGTTTCCTGACAATATAAACTCTTCAAACGCTATCACTTTGGTGTTTTTTACGAAAACAGAACATATTTTTGCACAGGACAATTTCTCGAAGACGAAGTATGGTCCAATACACCAAGAAACACTGATATATAATTGCCAAACAGCTAGACCTTGGTTTAACGTAGACATCTCAAGGAAAAACTGCATTCTTTTATGATTTTTGTAGCGGTTTTTCCTTGTTTTCTTGTCTATTTTTCACTGTTTTCTAGTGTTTTGAATAAAATTCCCGCCTATTTGCAAAATACGAGTCCACAATCATGTTGAAAATGTGTCACAGCGGTCGTTACTCCCTGCTTACTTTATGTAATTTTGTGTTTAAACGCCCCACGCAAGCCCCACGCACAGTTAACTACGTGATTAGTTAACTATCCGACTAACTACGTTTTGTGCAACGCAGTTAAGTCACTGACTCGTCCCCAGTCGTCTCTGTGTTTCAAGCGCGGGCGGAAGAAAAGGTATGCACAGGGCGCTTATATACCGATATATAGCGCTTAGATATATAAGCGCCCTGGGTATGCGCAAGGTTTTCCTAGCGCGTGTGCTCACCGCCTGCATGCCCTTGATAACCCTTGCGCATACCTTTTCTTCCGCCCGCGCTTGAAACACAGAGACGACTGGGGACGAGTCAGGTTAAGTCATGTAGTTAACTAATTACAGTTAAGGATTTAACTACAGTGATTAACGCTAACTACAGTTAGCGCTAATTACGTTTTTATACAACCGGCCCCAGGAAATTTTATATTTAAGGACAAGTTGTACGTTGTATTATTTATATTTATACGTATTGTATTATTTATATTTATACATATATTTATATTTATATTTTTGAAGAATAGCTGAATATATGTGGAACATTTGAATCAAAACATGTAGCACTGGCCGAGGCACAGGCAAGTGTTTTTTCGATGTTTATATTTGTTTTTTTCGCAGTTTGGTCGGAGAAAAGTACATTTCGGGCTTGGCACTAAGTCCACTGAAGCCAATTCACTGTATTTTACTGTCTTTAGTATCGATAGGGTTAATTTTTTAACTTTTTGGGTAGTGTTTTGAGTTTGAAAATTGTCTTCACTCCTCGGTTTTTCGCGAAAAAATAACTCTTTTGGACCACGGTCAAGATATCGTAAAAAGCTGCCCGCTGCTGCAGCCAATCAGATTGCAGGAAATCAAAAAATATCACTAGGCATGCACAAATAAAAAAATAAATATACATATTTATATATATACTCATTAATAATTCATAAACCTTCTGGCAAGTCATGTCAGCCATAATATGTCACGTGGAGTGACTTTATATCTGATAAAACTCAACTTCATTAGTATTCTTTTGTAGTCGTATTTTTAAGTTCTCCAGATTGAAATATACTTTTATTGAGCTTTCGACTCGGTACTTCGAGCCTTCTTCAGAATACTGAGATTAAAATTACATATGTACATTTTTTAAAGTTTTGCGGTGTTGCTACGTTCTTGTATACGTCGAGACCATCTGATTGGACATTTACGTGTTTTATTTATTTATATATATATATATATAATTTAACTCAGTCGAATTTAATTATTGTTATGATGATATGATAACTACAATGTTCTATATGTACTATTTAAAACACGAGTAGGAGTGTTTTATCAGATATAAAACGCGAGTCGCATCCGAGCGTTTTATGTCTGATAAAACACTCCTACTCGTGTTTTAAATAGCTTAAAATACGACTACAAAAGAATACTAATTAGGATGAACAATTATATAATGCCACATGCATACATGCAGTGTTATATCAGATATAAAGTCACTCCACGTGACATA